TCAGAGCCCTTATTTTGCTTCTGCTTCTGCTTCTGATAATTGCAATTTTTATTTCACTTATCAAAGATCCTTTATTTTTCAAAGTGATTGTTTCTTTTATGGGGGGGATAAATAATTATGTGGCTAGCTACAGTAGACTGAATGCTTTTGGCTGCAAAAAACAGTAAATCTTTTTTTTTTGGTTTTTTCTCCGGTACCGGGAACTGAACTCACGACCTTGCGCTTGCCAGGCAGGCGCTTTTTGCCGCTGAGCTAAATCCCCAGCCCCAAAAAACAGTAAATCTTGATTCAAAATTTCTTAAATATAAGAAAATGCACTATCTCACATACTGACAAGTGTAGAGACAAAAGCTTGAGAAATAGTTCCTCTAATCCATGTCTCTCTGAGGTTTTCTTGACTCTGTCACCTTCTGGATGTGGCTTAACCACAGGCTGATAGAGAATAGCTTCAACAATTCTGGGCATCACATCCAGACATAAAAACATTTAGGAGAAAGTGGTCACTTTTCTTCTTTCAAGTCTTTTTCATGCAAGAATTACTCCCAGAAGCTTCTCTGTTTTTTCAAATCACTCATGCATTATATGTCAATGCATAACTATTACCAGAAAAACAGTTATCCTGATTGTCTTAATGATTTAGGATCTGCTCCTGGAAGCAGAAAATTACACAAACTTGGTGTTGTTAGGATAAACAAGAAAATGAGTGTTTTACCGGTATAATCTATTCTAGTCTGAACTCCAAGTTAAAGAGGAAAAAACAAGCAAACAAACAAACAAAAAAAGAAACCAGAAAACTACAAGCTTCAGCAAAAGAAAGAAGGTAAATACGAGACACAAAATCAATCTACAAAGTTATCCTCAGATCTGTGATATCTGGAGTTAGGAGATTTACTGTAAAGGGATATTTCCAGAGGTGAAGAAAGTCTGAAAAAATACTATCAGAATTTTATCATTACTCTTGTCTCCAGATATCTTAAACACTATGCCAGAGAAACGACTATTCTTTACAAATCTAAATAGAAATTCTAATATGCAGATTTTAAGACTATTCTTTATAAATCTAAATAGAAATTCTAATATGCAGATTTTTAAGACTAATTCTCAAGTATATTCAGGGTTCCTGAAGCTAATCTAAGTCTTTTGGGGAAATTTTGAACTGTGATTTCTTCTATGTAGCCTATCCACAGCCATGAGATAATGGCCTTCTTGAAATATTCAGTCATCTTCATCTACATACAGTACAAGAATCTTGTTGGTGTACTTAATGCCTCTAATCAGTTTAAGTAGGAGAGGTTATCCAAATAACCTGAGTGTGAACAACTCAATTCTTTAGAAGGTATTGGAAATAGAGCTGAAGTTGCCCCAAGAGACAAAAGAAATTCTTCCTATGTACTACAGCTTTCATTTCTTCCTATGTAGTTCCACTCCGCTCATGATCTTCCCTTCCTAACAGTCTGCCACTAGATTTCAGACTTGCTTAGCTGGCAAGTGTGAAAGACCATTTCTTATAATAAACTTCTCAACACATATGTATGTTTCTGTGTATATATGTATTCTATTAGCTTTGTCTCTCTTGTTGCAGTCTGATATATACCACAGTAAGGAATGTGAATTTAGAAGTAATTAGACTTAATTAGGAAAAATATTTTATATCTACAGGTGTGTAAGTGTGCTTACCTAATACTCTTTTTAAAATTGACCTACTGGTCAAGGACTGATATAACACTGTAACACTAAATTAAGAGTTTTTTTTTTTTTTTTTTTTTGGTACTGGGAATCAAACACAGGACCTTATGCTTCCCAGGCAGACACTTGTGCTCTGAGCTATATCCCCAGCCCCAAGACAGCGGTATAATACTAAACCATCTTCTGGCAGGAACTACTATTTTATGTCAGAATCAACACTTATTAATGAAAGGACTATGCATTTATTTCTCTAGACCACAAAGAATAGGTCTGGAAAATTTTATTGGTATACTCTAAACCTTTTAATCAAGTGGAGATCCTTGCTATAAGTACTATAAGTTAGAAAAAATAAGAATTTCTTCTGTGTAATGACTATAAGTTTATTTTTACTTTTTCACTTAGAAGAATGTTGACCATTACTTAGAAATGAATTCTACATGCTGAAGTATAATACAGCACTACAGTTTTATCAGGTAAGGGGCTACTTAAAAGGGATTCCAACATAAGAACAATCACATAAAAGATGAGCTAGAAACTAAGACTAAAACAGATACAAACAGCAATATAGAACCTTGCCAAAAAGAACATGTACAAACTTACTGATTTTATCCAGAAGCAGGGTACCTAATCTGTGTAGTTCAACTTGATGTATAACCAGCTGTTCTTTACTTCTGATCAAGCAAAATTCCCAGCAAGCCCCAGCAGTAGCAAATGCAGCAGCCAGCAATTTATTGCAGCATAAGACTGTAGCTTACATAACACTTACTTTCCCAGGAAGTCCCAAACAAACCCCCCTGATGATGCAGGGACAGAAATCTGGTGTGGAGGGTACAATTTGCGGGAGACTTGCTCTCTGAGAAACAGCATGGCCCAGGGGCAAAGGCGATACACATATAAACACAAAGACATCAAAACCTCAATGGAACAGGACCATGACAAGACAAATCAAAAGATGATGAAACTCAAAATGATAAATTATAGAGAGACAGACACCCACACATGGGAAACAATACAATGGCAACATAAGAAGCAAATGGTTAGTAAGAAACACAGCAGCCACACACATGCACCTCAGTACTAAATCTGGGGGGGAAAGCATGACAGAATCGCAGCTATCTTTCACATAGAATACACATTACTTCCTAGAATAAGCACAGCTCAATTTATAAAAATGGTATTCAAGGACTAAGTGAAATGAAAATCTACCTTAGTTTCTAAGTAAAATATACTAGTATATATAGCCACTTTTGCTTAAGAAACTGGGTCAAGATTGAGCAAAAAGATAAGTCTCATAAAGTAGGGAGTGTTCAAATAATAGTTTCCAGCAAGTCTAAAGAGAATATAACTAATCTTGGCAGAAGAAAAGAAAAAATGGAGCAAGAATTTTAAAATCCCATCCTATTAACTTGGCTCAACCGCTGGGTAATTTCAGGGATAATTTCTCTGGCTTCTGGTTTCCTCTTCCATAAAATACTGTAGGAGACCTCTTTCACAAATTATCATTCTGTTTATTTAATATCTCAATCTATGTTGCTGGGTAAGAAATGACAAAGGTGACAGCAAAAACTGAGTTAGGAAAACTTGGTTTTGCTTTTAGATTTTTGTTTTGTTTTGTTTTGTTTTTATAGGCAAGAAATTTTGTTAAATCCTGAAACAAAATTATAATGCTGTAGGATCAGAGGATAGAACTGTGTAGTGTCTTTTCCAATTTATTAAAGGTTTTATTCTGTAAAAAGAACAGATCATTTATAACTTTCTTAAAATGCCAGGAATATAGTCCCTGATAAAAGCCACCACAGTATTTGGGGTAGTTTAGATAAAAGCTCTTTGGATATAGTAGGTAAAAATTTCTCAAAAAAGCATTGGAGCCAAAAATGAATAAAAAAGGTTTTTCAAGCAAGCTGTACAGGACAGCAAGCAATAATTTCAAATGTAGACTTCTACTATTAAAAAAAAAAAAAAAAAACAACTAAAAAATGGAATTTTCTCAAGGAAATGCTCTTGTGAAATATACTTAGTAAGCTATCAGCAATAAATCAAAATTATCATTTATGTAGCACTGCAACTGATTTTAGGAACATATAAAAGCAAAAAGAGGTAGGTATTACTTTAAGAATACAAGGAAGAATGTGCATGCCAAGGAAAGGGCACAATGTAGTCTATAATCTTGAAGTTCTGGTAACTTAAAAATTCTGATTTACAGAATTTTATCCATTTTTTACCTCAAACTAGAGAGTATGAACAGAATATTAACTCTATATAAAAATTAGAAACACAAGCAGATAATGAACTCTTGTTATTCACACTTCTAGTGCAGTGAAGAACTGTGAGAGTTGGTCTTCATTGTTTTTGAAATCAAAATCCAATGGGTACATAATAGGAGGAAATAATAACTTCAAAGGAAAGTATCATGTCTATCAGGAACCTCTAAAATTTCAAAAATTAGTGAACAAATGATAGGAGTAGTCTACCACTTCCAAACCTTCAAGGACAAAAATAAATTATTTCTAGGACTCAAGGCCCAAGAAACCACAAAGATTAGTGATTTTTTTTTTTCTGTCAGTCTTTCGAGCTAACATGGCTAATTACTGGAGTTCTAATGGAAGACTTCTGAATGCACTTGTGAGTTGACATTACATATACAGTATCAAGGAAGTTAAGATACCTATGCTTGACATCCAGTACAAACAATAAAAAAATGACAAAATTCTAAGACAGCTATCTGGCAGGATCTACTCAAACACAGCCTATTCTGAATAATTTAAATTCAGAGCCACATAAAAATCACATCTGAGCCTTCTACATTATCCTTAAATGCCTCTCTTTCTTCTAATTTTGATCTATGCATTGATGTAATAGTTTTTCTCCACACTATGTATTATGAAGTCTAAAACTTCACAACCCAAAAGAGCATCAAGCTCAGCAAAACAGGTCTAGTCTACAGCAAGGATAAGGTATTACCTCTGCATACATGAGAATTGTTGCTCATTATATGCAGAAATAAATCAGAAAATTCAATTTGTATTCTCTATCAACCAGCAGACAATGCTAATTTCTGAGTAATACTTTCTCTTTTATCAATGATACTGAAGTTTGCAGTTTCTTAATTTATTTCATTCTATGTTTAGAGAATGCAACAAAAGATTTACACTGACTTAGAATAACAAGTAGGTAATACAGAAATAACAGGCATTCAAGAACCTAAACTCAGATGGAGATTATGCTGAAACAAGTGTATCTTCAAAAGTACATAGTCTTAAAACCAGGCTTTAATTTTTCTAACTCAGAGTCTCATTCAGCTTTTCTTTCCTTACCTTTCCAACTCAGCTATCTTCTTATCTTTATCATTCTTCTCATTTTCTACCTCCTTCAAGATTTCCAACAGGCGGTCAACCTCTGTCTGGGCCTTGCTGGATTCATCTTTATACCTAGAAATCTCTTTCTCCAACTGCTGTATTCGGTCACTCATCTCTGGACTGGCTCTGGCTTCCAATGTTGCCTCATGTGCCTACAAGAAAAATTGTTCAATGTCTACAGATATACATACAGTGGCAGTGAGCAATCCATGGCCTAAAGAACTATTTATGGTCCTACTGAAATAGTATCAAATAGAGATACTGAAATATGATGTCATGAAAATGCAGCTGGGTTAAGGAAATGGCTACTACCACATAGGTACCTTCCTAAAGCAAGCATTCAAAATTTTACAAGGTAACATGGGACAAACAAATGGAGTCAGAAATCAAGCACCACACTTAAAACTAAAAATAATTTTTATTTAGAACCCTTTTGTAAAAAGCACCTAAAATCATAGCAGTATTTTGGAATACAAAGCAGTTTCAACAACTTAAAATTAACTTTTGACTTCTTAATTTTCCTCCTGAATCTCTAAAGCCATGCATGTAGAATGTATTTAATGAGGGGCAAAAGCTAAGATGTTGGATTTTTCCTTACTGAATAAGCAATAAAACATACTAAATGCCTGTTTTTGAAAGAAACATTAAAAGCTATGAAGACAAATCTTAGATAAAAGTAAACCTTAGAAAACATGTTAGAAAACTCTGATGCAAAGTACACTGAATAAATAAAAATCATTTACATAAACTGTCCTAAATGTTTTATGAAAGTAGTAGTAATACTTCTAAGATTAAATGCTTTTACTAAGTGACTTTCTTTAAAACTTCTTTCCTAGAGGAAAAAAAATTTGTTTCTCTTAAATATTGGCTTTCCTAACCCTGAACTTACTTGTGAAATGTATTTGAAGAAACAAAAACTCTGCAAGTTTGGAAGGTAAAAAGAGATCATTGCTCTGTAACTGGGTGTTGTCCAACATCTAAATTCATCTGTTTCACACTGTTCTGCCAGTTTTGAAATTAAAGGTAAGAGGGAAGTTCTAGTACCAGTTAGTATTTCATGGGAAGGAGAATGCTACAGACAATTTTTAAAAACAGTATGTCTAACAGAAAAGGAGAGAAAAAGAGTATGAGGGGTAATGAGATCAGCAGCTATTTTATAGAAAGCTGATCATATTTATACATCAAAATGGGGAAAGAAACTACAAAACTACAAAAAGAAAGATAATGAAGGGGGCTGGGGATTTAGCTCAGCAGCAAAGCGCCTGCCTGGCAAACGCAAGGTCGTGAGTTTGGTTCCCGGTACCGGAAAAAAACCAAAAAAAAAAAAAAAAAAAAAAGATAATGAAGATGCAAACAAAAGCTGAAATACATGAGAAATCCCACAAAGAAAAGAGGTGATGAAATAGCCAACAAACGGTTTAAAGCAGGGTGCACAAAAAAAGACTATGTAACAAACCGAAAGGCGGCTGTTATTCAGTAACTGACAATGAGATAACTCTGATTTATAGTAATTTATTATATATATATTATTTATATTCCACAAATATAACTACTGCACATTAATGTCCTGGGCCTTCACACATGCCAATGTGCCTCACCTTAGTAAATGTCACTTGTGTAAGGAGGTCTCCTGCAACCCTGACCTAGCCTGGTCCTCTCCAATGTGCGCTTCCACATACCCTTGATTTGTTACAACCTCCTACCTGAGTGCCTACTTTTCCTGACAGAGACTACATATTCCATGAGATGAAGGGAAAGGTCTGTCCTATTTACCACTATAACCTCAGTGCCCACCAATGGTAACTCACAGAGTAGAAACTCAACTATTTTGTTGGACAAATACATATTTTCAAAGTAGTGGAATAGTTTACCTTTTATTGAAAACAGCCCATAAGCTTAAGTAGTATGGAAAATAGAGTAATTGAAAGAGGAGGAAAATCATCAGTAACTACACACGAGTGCAAGGTTAAATGCAGCCCACTAGATCATTTAGAATACCAAATGACAAACTTTAGGAATAAGATAAATCAATTAAACTATAAAGAAAGTCAAAGATATTATGAACTTTCCCATACTCACTGTATCAACAAATTCTATAGCAGATAAGTATACATCTATTTTTGTTGAGTTCACTTCGTTTTAACATGAAATTCTAAGAATATTAAGCCATTTAAAGATCGGTACAACTTTATAAAAATGAGATGAATCTCAAAAAGAGCTATTTTCCATATCACTGTTATAAACACTCCTTTGAAACAATTTCAAAATAGTTGAATATGACATTTAATTCAAGATGTAAATCTGTTTTGCCTCAATGAAACATGCTATAACATCAATATGAAAGATATTTTTAAGAGGTGTTTAATTTCATAGCTTCACTCTCTTTTCCATTTTTCTACCCTTTAAATACTCATTGTCCATTAACTTGTGTCTTGAAAATATAGTCAGTCTACATACCTTGCTTTTAGAAATATCAGAAAGTCAAAGTCACTCAGAAGCAAAAACTACAACTTAAATAAGTACAGTATCTCTCTAAAATGCCATCTCTGGACAGGAAAATGTGACCTAATGATCAACAAAAATACTTCAATAAAGGGTTAAGCTTTCCATCCTTAGGAATTACTTTACCAGAAACTGGCCACCTTTTACATTATTAAATACACAGACACTGAAGACAAGGATTTTGATTTTCTGTATTCCGTATTTGTTACATGAAGACATAAACGATTATAGAATGATGTCAATAATCGTATCTGTGTACAAATAATCATTTTCACATAATATATTTAATGAGAAAGGAAAAACTAAGATGGGGTCTTAATAACGTTAAAACATATTGGTTTCTTAGAATGATTTTTGAAGTACAGTAAAAGAGTAAATATATGTACTGAAGAAAAATGATGCATGGGGCCTGGGGATTTAGCTCAGCGGCAAAAGCGCCTGCCTGGCAAGCGCAAGGTCATGAGTTCGGTTCCCGGTACCAGAGAAAAACCAAAAAAAAAAAAAGAAAAATGATGCAAAATACACTGACAAAAGAGGCTTTATGGAAGCAACAGCAATACTTTTAGGATTAAGTCCTTTAATACTTTCTTCTGTCTCAGGTCTAATCTGGTGAAAATCCAGTTGATAAGCATGGCCTTTAAAGGAGATTCTGTTGGCAGGCATGGATTTTAAATGTGTTGGCAAAATTCTACCCGAAATTAGTATTATAAGCCACATCAGGGGCTGGGGATTTAGCTCAGTGGCACAGCGCCTGCCTGGCAAGCGCGAGGTTGTGCATTCAATCCCCGGTACCGGAAAATAAAAACTAAAAAAAAAAAGTCACACTGTAAAAGCAAGAGAAGATGCACACAATGAATTAACCCAAGGGAAGAAAACAAAGCAAAAATAAAAAAACTACAAACCTCTTTTAAAGTTTGGGGAAGAATTTTGATTTTATAGAAACTTCCCTACCTTTGTATTTACCCCAAAATAGTTTAAGAGTCAACAAAAAAGTTGAGCTTTGATTTGAGGAAGAGACAGATAAAGAAGCCAGGTGTTTTTACTTTTTATAATTAAAAAAAGTCACTGATGGAAAATATGAATATATGAACCAGGTTTTTATGATACCTTGTAGACACATACTCATTGGCTTAGATGAGTAGCTAACTACAACTGCAGGATACTAAAAGGAGAAGAGCTGGAGGAGAAAGGAAAAGTAGAAGGAAATGGTTTATGTACAGGATAAGCAAGCAATAGAAAAATAAAAGGCTAAAGTGAAGTTACTTAAAAAGCTCATGTAAAAAACAAGAGTTTAGAAACATTTTTAAAGTAGTTAGCATTTTTTAAAAATTCTCATAACTCAAAAATTGAGTTTGCACCTTTTCCTTAATAATCCTGAGGATTAAGAGCTGATGCTGAAGATGCCCATACCAAAATTCAGGTGTAGGATATGAAATGTTATACTATAAATAGGTGAGAAAAGACTTCAATTATCATTACTGCAAAGCCAGGCATTTCCTACTTGCAAATTGTCAATGTTAAGAACATTCTTCTGAATAAATATAAATCAGAACACTAACCTGACACCACTCCTAACAACATCATTTGCTAATGATTTTTAGGAAAAAAAAAAATATGGCAAATAGTATCTACAGATTTGTACTATTATCTACAAATAAGCTTTAAACCAAAAAATGCCTGCTAAGGTAGAAGCAAAGAGAATAAAATTTTAGGCTTAATAACTTGCTAAAAATATTTTAGGAGGGAAGCACCAGAGCACACAGGAAAAGAGAGAGAAGTAAAGACACGGTGGCACACTCCTGGAGGCTGACGCAGGACTGTAAGTTACAGGCCAGCTTGTGAAGCACAGCAGGACCCCAGCTCTATGTGTGTGAAAGAGGGAGAGGGGAAAAGGGAGGGAAAAAGGGAGAGAAGGAAGAAGAGAGGGAAGGAGACAGGGGGAGGGAAGGAGGAAGACAGGGAGGAGAACACTAGTCCAACCTTCTTGGAGTAGGGCATAAGTAAGCTTAATACAGAAATATCATTAATGAATCTAAAAGGTACAACTGTCTAGAATAAAACACAGGAAAATACGTGAATATGAATAGGACAATAAAGCAGAAAGCTATCCACCTCTGAATTTTATATTTCTCTCATAAATCTAAATATAAAGCCTTAAATATCAGATTGTTTAAGTGTCTGACTACAGAAGTATCAAGCTACACAGAAAGATCTGAAATAAACTATAGAACGAGAATGTGAGACTGTCACACTCAGGGGAGTCTAAAAGTTAACACTAAACTTCATAGTTACCCCTTAGATTTGTAATTCTAAATACATCTTAATTTCATCTTCAATATATACATATTAAATAGAGAACTACTTCCACCCTTCTGATAAAGAACAAAAACAAAGGCAACTATAAAATCTGAATTGCTTATAACTGGAATCCTTAATCTCCAAGTAACTTTAGCATACTGATCTTCCTTTCCTTAGCTTTAGAACATCATTTTATTTTTTTGGCATTCTCTAAATGGATGATAATATATGGAAATAACAGAACTGGAACTTTCGAGATGAGGATCTGGCTCTTATCCATCAGAAGGCATATGAACTGGACCTAGTTAGCAATTCTCCAAGTTCCAGTTACAGTCCTCAAGGAATTGACAGTTTAGAGATAAAAATCTTTCCAAAATACTCTGAAAACTATAAATTACTATATTTGTTGAATACAAAGCAAAGAGATGGATAGCAAATATCTATATTACGCCTAATATTTACCAGTTTGGATAAGTATCACTGCTACCATTATCTCCTTTCAGGAAGTCTAATTTTATGAAAAGAAAAATATCAGATAGAGATTTTTATATTGTGGTCTCACATTTCATCCATAATGTATATTTTAATCTTCCTCTAATCTGTAAATTTTCTGACACTGGGAATTCTGATGAATAAAAGTATGAATGCAAAGGTGTAAATGGTAATTCAGTAACTCTATTGATAAGTTACTCCACATAAACACCTTACAGCTGGGCATGGCAGGGCACATACTATCAGTATTCAGGAGGTTGAGGCAGGAGGAGTGGGAGTTTGAGGCTAGCCTGGACTACATAGCAAGATCCTCTCCCAAAACAAAAAAACACCACTCTAGAGACATCTACTGTATTCTTATTTAAGAGTCTCATGCTCTACCGACTGAGCTAGCCGGGCGCCTTGTATTCTTATTTAAAGCAAAACAAATGAGAAAAACTTCCTGAACCTTTTTCAACTGCGACTCCATTTTCAAACATTCTTCCTTCTTCTGCTCCAGAGCAATCTCTAGTGTCTTAAGCCGTGAGTCCTTTTTCAGTCCTGAGGAAGCCAGAGAAGAAGCATGTTCTTTCAGATCCAACAGGGAAGCCTAAAAGAAGCAAGACACATCTAGAATAAATATTAATTTTTTTTTTTTGGTTTTTCTCCGGTACCAGGAATCGAACTCACAACCTTGCGCTTGCCAGGCAGGCACTTTGCCGCTGAGCTAAATCCCCAGCCCCTAGAATAAATATTAAATGAAATATTAAGAGAAGAGGAAGTGTGATGGGTCACACATAGATCATATAATATGGTAAATGTATTTAAGTAACAAAGCTTCATCTTTTAATGTTTAACTTATTATTTGAAAAATAACAAGCCCAAATTTAATAAATAAGAAAATTTAAGTGTGTGCTTAATAGCAATGAACAACTACCTTCACAGGCACACAGGAAAATTGAAATACTATCACCAGTAATCACTACATCTTACTCATGAAGTCCCACAAATGTAGTATCTCATACATGCCTATTTTGATTTTACTAATTATGTGTGGTGAGTGTAGGAGACAGACGTAGCACTTCACTGTCCCTACCATACACACATTTCTGCTGTCACTTATACAGTCCACGCTTGAGTACCTTCAAGTAATGAAAAAAAAGTGAAAATCATACAATAATGTTCGAAGTTTATGACCTTACTGGGCCACATTACTAGCTCTCTAGGGCTATATACAGTCTCCAAGCTATGACCAGGACATGCTTACCTTAAGGTATTCACCAAAACCTGTTATAAGACATTAAGAAAATCTTCCATCCAATATTTTTAAATCATTAGGCAAACAGCCACAATATATATACATACTGCAATGACTAAGCAAACCAAATAATTCCATTTTGGTGATCTTAACCTCTTTCTCTGAGAGATCGCCTTGTAATAGGCTGACTTTTTCTTTCAGGTCTTTAAGATCTTTTTTGTAGTTATCAATTTCTTCTTGCTTCTCTCGCTCATCTCTGTCCCTCTGCTCCTTTAAGCGCTCAATCGTCCGTTCCTGATAAGAAAACACAACAACATATAAATTCCTTTTTGTACTTAAACGATTAATTCTGCTTTCAGCTGGTAAAATACGAAACTTCTATTCTCTATTAAAAAAGCAACGATATGCTTTTAAAAGAGTACACTTTTAAACAATCTGTCTTTCCCACTTATCTTGCTGTTTTCATAAAGAAATGGCTTTGATTTTTTTGAATGCCAAAGTTTCTTTTCTTATACTCTCTATTACTAGATAAGACTACAGTATTGGGGCTGGGGATTTAGCTCAGTGGCACAGCGCCTGCCTGGCAAGCGCAAGGTCATGAGTTCGATTCCTGGTACTGGAAAACAAACAAACAAACAAA